CTATCAAGAAATCAACCAATAACAAATGCTGGCAGGGGTGTGGGAAGAAAGGAACCCTTCTCCATTGTTGGTGGGAGTGCAGACTGGTGCAACCACTGTAGAAATCTGTATGGAGATACCTCAAAGAACCAGGGCTTGATATCCTATTTGACCCAACTATTCCCTTGCTGGGTATCTTCCCCAAAGAATTTTAAAAAATCATACTACAGCAATACATGTTCACCCATGTTTATCGGCTCAGTTTGTAATAGCTAAAGCTCGGAAACAGCCCATGTGCCCATCAACTGGAAACTGGATAAAGAAGATGTGAGGTTTTTTTACAAAATGGAATACTACTCAGCCATAATGAACAAGAAACTAGAGACATTTATAGCTAGATGGATGCATATTGAGGCCATACACTTAAGTGAAATAAATAGGACACATATGTGTAAATGCCTGTTTCTCTAGTGTGAGAAACTAAAAGTGTAAATAAGGATTAAAATGATTAAAATGAATAATTGATAGTTTGGAACAGGAAAAGGTCCAAAGGTATAAGGGTGGTGGGAGATGAAGGGGAAAGGGAAGAAGGGAAAGGAAAAATTATGGGAAAAGATAAAAAATGGAAATGAAATCTATGTAAATAGGGGAGGATGGAGGGGGTGAAGGGCGTACAGGTAATGGGGAAAAAAATAAGAACCAAGATTCATCATGTACCCATACAAGCATGCAATGATTAATGTTAATGTATTGTATACCTAAAATGTACCAATGAAAGAATTTTAAAAAAATAAAATAGAATGATAGCTGAAAACTTCACAAATCTTGGACTTTGAGCCTGGGTATAGGCCTAGAAGAAAAAAGTGTGCAGTGAAGGTTGGTGTGAGTAGAATTTGCATTATCTTGATTGGTAATTGTACCAGAGAAGACAATTACTGATCCTTTAGACAATACAGCATTAGTTTCTCAGACAAGATGGAGAGTACAACATCACAGAGGTTGGAGATGAAGATGTCTCTGCCCATGATAGTGAAGAAAAGAGAATTTTAACTGCAGATACCATTCAAAGTTGAGAATTAAACTTGCAGTGTAATTCAGCAAATCACATGATGAGGGATTGGGTTTTGGTTTCCAGCCACTTCAGCCTACTGCTTCAAGTCACAAGATTCTCTTTCAGGAAACCCTCAGAAGACTTTAGGTTGTTTATGCTTATTTGGAACTGGTACATTGAATATATGAAGTCATTCATTTCTTTTATTAGTATATTCATAGATGCAAGAAGTAACTGGCCAACATTGTAACACTTAGTCTTCCAAAATTGTTCAAAACTGTTGTGTATAAAGTCACTAAATTCCTTGCATCTCTCAAGTAGTAAATTGGGAATATCAAATGTATCTATATTGTGTGTTTTCTTAAAGAGTTCATACCATGGACATCAGTACTGTGTACGTTATTGGAAGGAGAGACCATGGCAACTTTACAGCTCCAGAGATCCAACTTCAAGAACTACTAAACTGATTAGAAAAAAATCATCCTTACAATTTACTTCATTAGAATAGAATCACTTTTGGTACTGAAATCTATATTGGTTAGAGTTCTCTAGAGGAACAAATTCCATAGATATGAGGAATAGACTTATAAAATAAAAAGTAGGTCAGTGCACAATGGCTGTCTACATTTTAGAGAGCCAGAAGATACAGTCTGAGTGACTGGAAGCCATAGAACAAGAGGGATCATGGATCAAAGACCCAGAAGCTCCCTGAAGAGTCACTGGTATGAATTTATATTGAAAGCCAAAGGAAACTGGAGTCCAATGTCCCAGGTGAGCATAGCAAAAGACAAGTCCATTCAAGCAGAATAGGGCTTTTCAATACTGGACAACTTCCCATTCTTTTCCTTTTATTCTATCCAGTACACAAGTCTGTTGGATGGTCCCATCCACAATCAGGGAAGATCTTCTCCCCATCTGCTGGGTGATATAAATAACAATCGTTGTAGTCAGGGTTTTGGCAAGGAAATACATTAAGTACAGGACACATAGTTTATAGAGTTATTTTATGATAATTATGCAAAGAGTCAAATGCAAAAAAGTGCAAGAGATTAACCACACACTAGGGACACAGATGATCCAGCTAAAGGCCTGGATCCCAGAAATTTCCCACACAACTCCAGCTAAAGGCTTAGAGTCCAAGGAAATGTCCTCCACAAGGCCAGCCAGTGGTCTAGAGTCCATAACAATGCCTCATGCTTGTCTATATTGAGGATCTTCACCTGGAAGGCCCAAAGGCCAGTGGTGGAAGCTAGAAAATCTACATGGGTGAGATAAAGAATTTGTACCACCAAGCTGAGGGATCTACATTGAAGCCAGGAAGAGATGCTCATAGTAAAGATCAGAGCTCCCCTGGTGAAAACATCAGCCATTCCCAGGGACACTGAGGCCCTGACCTCCTCCTCTGATGAGAACATCCTAGTTTGCATCAGGAAAACCATCTGCTGGAAGCTTCTCCTACAAAATAAACAGGTCGAGCACCTCCCCTCCAGTTCTCTTTGTATGGCTATTGGTAACAATCTTCAGGTGGATTATCCATGCCCAGACCATGCTTATTTGGTTCAGGTGGGCATTACAAGTTGCCCATTAGTCAATCCACCACACCAATCATCTATAAAAACACACTATTGTCACACCCAGAGTTGTACTTTACTAATGTGCTAGACATTTCTTAATCCAGTCAAGTTGGCATTTTAGAGCTAATGGTCACAATTGCCATTCTGACTGGGGTAAGGTGGAATCACAGACTAGTTTTAATTTGCATTTCCCTAATAGGTAAATATGTTGAACATTTTTTCATGTAGTTATCACCCATTTCTACTTCTCTTGAGAAGTTTCTATTCAGTTTGTTTGCCCATTTTTTGTTGGGTAATTTGCTTTTGAGGTTAATGTTTTCTGAGTTTTTTATATGCTCTAGATATTAGTACTCTATCAGAAGATTACCTAGGAAAATATTTTTCCCATTATGTAGGTTGTCTTTTGAATTTCTTGATTATTTCCTTTGCTCTACAGAGCCTTTTGATTATATATAATTCCATTTGTTGACTTTTGATATTATTTCCTTCAACATTTGTGTTCTATTCAGAAAGTCTTTGGCTGTACTATGGCTTCAGGTGTTTCCCCTGATATCTTCCAGCAGTTTAAAGGTTTCTGTTTTTATATCTAAGTATCTGTTGCATTTTCATTTCATTTTAATATAGGCTAAGAAATAAGCATCTAGTTTCAAACTCCTGAATATGGACAATTTGTTATCCCAGAACCATTTGTTCAAGAGGCTATGTCCTTATTCAGTCACCTCATCTTTGACAAAGGAGCCAACCATGCTTACTGAAGGAAAGATAGACTATTTAATAAATGCTGTTGGAAAAACTGGATCCTCATCCCACCAAAGATTAAAATTAGACCCATATCTATCACCATGCACTAAACTAAGATCGAAGTGAATTAAAGATCTAAATATTATGTATTAAATTATAATATCTAAATATTATAACAGAAACACTAAACTTTCTGGAAGATAAGTTAGGTAGAACTCTTGAATACATTGGCATGGGAAAAGACTTTATGGACAAAACCTCAGTAGCATGGGAACTAGCACAAAACATCAACAACTGGGATCTCATCTTATTAAAAAGCATCTGCACTGCAAGAGAAACCACCAACAGAGCTAAGAGACAACATACTATGTAGGAAAAAAAATTTTATCACCTGTTCCTCAGACAAAGGTCTACATTCTAGAACATATAAAGAACTTAAAAATATTAGACCCTCAAATACAAAGACCCAATTCAAAATAGGCATCTGAAATGAACAGACATTTCTCACACAAAGAAGTAAAAGCAGCAAATAGGTATATGAGAAAATGTTCAACATAACTGGTCATTTGAGAGATGCAGTTGAAAACAACACTGAGATTCCACCTCACTCCAGAATTGTTGATCAAGAAGTCAACCAATAACAAATGCTGTCAGGGTTGTGGGGAAAATGAACCCTTCTCCATTGTTGGTGGAATGCAGACTGGTTCAACCACTGTGGAAATCAATATGGTGATACCTCCAAAATACAGGATTAGAGGTCCCATTAGAATAGCTATTCCCCTGGTAGGTACCTTCCCAAAATAATTAAAAGAATCATACCACAGAGATATATGTGCACCCATATTCATAGCAGTACAGTTCGTAATAGCTAAAACTTGGAAACAGCCTAATTGTTCATCAACTGGAGACTGGATAAAGAAAATGTGGGGTTGTTTTAATAAAATGGAATCTTACTCAGACATAAAAAGTGAGAAATTAGAAACATTCATAACTAAATAGATGCACATTGAGGCCATACACTTAAGTGATATAAATAGGACACATGTGTAAATACCAAATAGTTTCTCTCATAAGAGAAACTGAAAGTGTAAATGAGGATTAAAAGGAATAATTGTCAATGTGAAATAGAAAGAAAAGGTTCAAAGGTGCAGGGGAAGTGAGAGGGATATGGGAAAGGAAAGAAGGGAAAGAAAAATATATGAGGAAAGAAAAAAATGGAAACAAAGCCATTTCAAATAGGAAAGGGAGGAGGTATTGAGGGAGGACAGGGGAATGGGGAAAAAATAAGAACCAAGATAAATCACGTAAAGGTACAAGTTCCCAATGACGAATGTAACTTTATTTATACCTAAAATGTACCAATAAAAGAATTTAAGGGAAAAAAGGCTATGTGTTCTCCAATACAGGTTTTTGGCCCCTTTGTGAAAAATCAGGTGGCTCTAGGTCCATGATATTTTTTTTAATCTTGTGTTCTATTCATTTGTCTGTGTGAATACATTTGTACCAGCATCATGTTGTTTTAATGATACCTTTCCATTATAATTTGATATCTGGTTTGGTGAT